GGTGCAATATAAGCTCAAATGGCGGGTATCAACTTGGGTAGTTTGCTAGTGATAATAAACGAATGTAAGGCTCGAGATATGCAAGCTACAATTAAATAATGGAAAGAAAAATTTGAAATCAAAGAGCAAAATGATTTAATATATTCATGGCAAATTGGAAATTACCGAGTCTATATTTTATGACTACCGAGACAACATCAATGGTCGTTTAAAAAATATTTTATAACTATTTCTAATCCTCCACGATTCGGTTGATATATCTATTCCAGATGAGAACTGCTTCTTATTTATCATCACAATACAAAAGTTGAATAATGAATCGAAATCAAATAAACACTATTATCTTATCTTCTCGAGGATCTTCAGCACTTAGTCGCGTGCTTTCTTAAACCTTCTTATGTTGGATGTGTCGTCACTTTAGAATCATGTCGATCAGAGAGTGTAATAAAACAATATAATAAAAAAAATAACTACTCCTTCTGTGCCAATAGAGAAAACAATCTTTAATCCTGAAACTTGCATCATAGAAATTGAAATTCTAAATTTTCTAGGCTTGAGCAATGGTCATCACAAAGTGCCATCGTCTTTACATGGACAAAAAAATGTTGTTTCCACTCCTTCCACACCAAAACCTCCATCATTATCTTCTGCTACAGATTTTACTCGTAATGTTATTCCTGGTTCCCCATCTTCATCAATAGAACAACAACAACAACTAACAACGAATATAAATAGTCCAAATGGTTATTCCACAACTCTACCAAATGATTTTACACAACCGTTATCAATTCCAACTCGATTACAATCTTTAAATTTAATCAATGAAGCATTTAGACGTTTTAGTGCTATTGAAGCAACATTAGCAGCACAACGTAAGCAATCTCAAATGACATCATCATCTATAAATTCACATCGTTCACGACTTAATTCAACAACAAATAATACTACAACTAAACAACAACAACAACAACAAAACAATGAATCAGCTATGGCTCAAGCACAATCTTAAATGATCATTTCAGATATATTTATATAAATATACTGATAGAGTTTATTCTGTGTTCTGTTTTTCGTTTTTCTTTTTTTTTGTTCAATTTCTCTCATTTTTATATATACATATAGCTATTTTATTGCTTTTCTTCATTCGTCGTCCTTGATGATGAACAACAAGGATAATTATTCTTTTTTTTTCCTTTCTATTTCATATTTTAGACGATATATATATATATATATATAATATATCGGTCATGTCCGGAAATAAGAAGTCATCAACAATGATATCAACCAATAAGAAACGTGAAGAAACATCAAGTAAAACATATACAGTTGAACGTTTGCTTAAACAACGTAAACGAAAAGTAAATATTAAAAAAAAAAAAACTTTCTTGAAAATAATGAAATCTTGTTTTTTTTTCTCGCTAGGGTCGTATTGAATATTTAGTAAAATGGAAACATTATGATAAAAGTCATAATTCATGGGAACCCGAAGGAAATATTCTTGATAAATCTCTGATTGATAGTTATAAAAAACAAATAAAATCTACATCTCGACGTACTTCATCACCAAAAAAATCTATACGAAATCAAAATGATGATTTATCATCTGTGAAAAATGATTCTATTCATGATTGTAATGAGCAATTAGAAAAAGAAGATGATAATAATAAAGAAGATGATAATAATAAACAAGAAAAAATCATAAATTCAACTTCAATTGATTATTGGTATCCACCACCAATATGTGAACAAAAAGCAAAAATTGCAATAACTGATATTACATCTGATAATGTTACAATTACATTTCGTGAATTAATTTGAAAAAAATTTGCTTTATTTGTTTGTTTTTATAGAAATTTAAAATAATGTCAGATGAATGTGTGTTTTTTATTGTAAATTTTGAATAATATCAAATTGTTATTATTTGTAAATATGTAAATATTATCCGAATGTATATGCAAATTTTTTAATATTGTTAGTGAATTTGATATAAATCGAAGTTGTTCATTATAATCGATGATTAACAAGCAGCAATAATGAAAATTGAATGTATTATAAAAATGATAATAAATTTTCAAATTGGATCTATTCGTCTCAAAAGTAAAGATGAAAATAGTATTGAAGATTAGTTGAATATTTGTCTCTTAGCTTTGTCGAAACTTGTTTTCTTAACTATTTATATTATTTTACAGTTTATAATCTGTGATGAGAAGGTCTTTAGCGCAAAATATTCGTTCATTTTTCGATCACTAAAAGACAATTGATTAGAACCAGAAGTTTTCACTATTTTCGAATATGTGTTCAGATTTTTCTTCTGAGATAAGAATGAACAACTATCATGAAGTTTTGTGAAAAAGGTCAAAATTGTGTTTGTATGAAGCAAACTAGAGATTTTAGCGCAGATCTTTATTATTAGGGATAGTACTTTATTAGTAAATAGGTAAATAAAATATTTACTATTAGAGATGCACCAATGCCACTTCTTCGAATTGATCGAAATTCGAATTCGAATTGGTTAGGAATGGGAGTTACCATTACCAGACAAGTGCGTTATCAGGTAACGAAAAATTCTTGGATTTGATCCTTTCATCAGAGACATACCCATCGTCTAGAAATTAGAAATTTAAGAAAATCAAGTTGGATTCAGTTTTTGGAGTGCCCACATCGAGATTTTATGTGCCAGTCTTTCAAGCTGCCTCATTATAGAGTGCCTTGAATTTTCAATTTCTGGATGGTGCTTACTGCTGGTTCATGACATATATTAATGAAACAGATGGAGTGTGTCGGTTGCTTTTACTTACAATGCAGTCTACATGCTAATTGCTTTTTCTTGCAAAAGATTGTCTATTTTTGCTACTCAGCAGTAATGATCTGATTAACCTAAGTAGTCAGGTAGTGTTTGTTTTAGATTCTTTGTAAAAAGAATCTCAAATTTGTTGAGAAGAGCTTCCTTCTCAATCCTTTCTTGTCTAATGGCTCCTATAGAAGGACCATTTTATAAAAATTTGGTTCTCTTGAATTACGAGACATTTAGAAATAGATTTTATATGAACTTAAAGCCTATCTAATGTGAACTTCAAATCTACAGTTTAAATCCAATCTTTATCATAAAAATAATTCCATCCACACCCCATATGGTATTACTTGAAAAATGATCAAATATCACAGAAAATTTTTCTCAAGCTTTCTATACTACGAAAATAAAGCATCTTCGCCACTATTTTTGGACTACTCTAAGTTTATAAACAAATCCAAAGAAAGATATATTCATATTAAGAACGTATCCGGATTATTGATAGTTGGCAATCAAAACCTGATTCACAAAATTGTATGCATGTTATTACTAATGAAGAAAAGAAAATTAATTTCAATACATCTCATGCTAGATCAGGTGAGTTCTTTTCTTTTCTATTGAATAAAACATAAATTTTACTTGTGTTTCTATACTCTAAAAGCAAATATTCGAGGTATAGATAGTTCTTCTACACTATTATGCATTCACCATCAAGATTTATCAGTCACTTTCAGTTTTACTGCTTTAAAAGCTGAAAAATATGATAATAACAGGGACAAATGCTGGCAATTTATTATTGAATATGCTTATTCTAATTATAGCAATTTGCGTATCGTTGGATCGTTTGAAAGTAAAATTACGTGGTCGTGATTCATAGGAAGCATGCGTTTATGAAGAAGCAAAATTTACTATCGATACTTCACGAGCTTCGAATCCTAGTATTAATAAGTAGATTCTACCATTGATTATTGCACAGACAGATGTCAAAATTCGAATTTATCAAAACGAAAAAAATAAAAAAGATTTTTCGTTATTCTGATGAACCCATAATACCAGGTATAACACAATACAATTGTTAAAAAAATAAATCAAAATCTTTACTATATGTAACATTTTTGGATGATTATTTATTGAGTACAGGTATACCACTAATATGATGAATAATTTCGTTCGTCTTTTCATTTACTAGCTATTCATATATAGGATCATCCATCTTGATCCAGAAACAATGGATATAACTACGACTGAAGACTTCATCACGTATCTCTAGCAGCTTTAACAAGTCTTATAAATGTTTTAGTAAACGCTTCATAAATCTCTCATTTGTTGAATGCATAGGAAGTGGCCACTTAGAATTTACTTCCATGCAGATGGTTACGAATTCGAGCAGTTAGTCAACATGTAGAAGCGCTGTCAGATATTTTGTATTGGTAAGACTTTCGAAGACATATTTTATCTCTTGGAATGGATATGAAAGAAATTCTTGATCTGGCTGATAGGATGTGATGATTGCATTTGTAACATGTTTAATAAACACATCAACAATGTCGTTGGTGACAAACAGAGCTGCGAGTCCCGGATATCGAGCTGGAACAAACAAAAATTTGACCTATCCTGTAGTAAAATTAAACTTGGTGCCATCAACTTTGGCTTAACGTCTTGATCCCGATAGATGCAACCTTCAAGTATTAGTGGAATCAATAGATCATTCAATAGTCGCTCGATATCGAACACGTTCAAATGTTTATTAGAAAGTAAAGATTTCATAGATTGCTACTGAGTCAGTTCAAAATTTCTATCAACAATCCATCTACTAGACACTTTCCAGAAAATAATAATGATAGAAAAACATCTGATTGCTGCTATTGTCTTGTGCCATTGTTTTAAGATATACTTGGAGAAAATCGAACTCGAGAAGCTTTATAAAAACGTGTCATAACTAGAAATGTTTATAGTTATATAATGAATACGAATTTAGAAAAATTAATAGTCTTGCATGAGTCGCTTTTGATTGAAGGACTAGTCTTATGAATATTGCATGACGACTGTCAGCCACATTTTTAGGACGGGTGCGCATGACAGATAGAAGTTTAGACTAGCTCTGAACTAGAATTCTTTCAGACAAAGACTAGACATTTCGGATTGGCATGGCTAGAAAAAAGATTAGTCATTGAATCCGTCTTTTGCTCACTTGGCTATGAATTTATTCTTAAACATCAATGTCCTTTTTATAGAAAACATCCCAAACAGAATTGATTGGTGCATGCGATGGAATGTATTCGTAGTTAGGAAGATCATAACCGAATGCTTTAATACCCACAGTTTCAAGGGCGCGCGGTGTAGTCATTGCTTCGGGTGCTGGAAGAACGAGTACCGAGACACGATAACCGTACTTGATCGTTTCGGTCGATACCGGTTCAGCAGAGTCTTGTTCGACGAGTGTGATCAAATCGGGTACAGTAGCTAGAATTTCTCCATCGTCAAAGCGTGCTATAAGATTTTCATTTTGAAAATCGATCACAAGATTTCTTCCAACTGTTTCAATAGTTAGATGACCTCGAGCAAATCCAGCAGCAGTATGTCGTTCGACACTGATCACTTTTCCATCGGATACAAGTACACGACCATGACCAGCACGAGCTACCGCTTGAATAGCATCAGAGCGATGATTGAATTTGGCCTCACCTATTTTGAAAGATTCGTATTTGAGACAAGAAAAACATATCTACTACACACCTAGAAACCAAGCACGAGAAAGACTATAAGGAAACACATATTTTTGCAATTCTTCACCGGTTATTGGAGGCAAACAAACACCAACAAAGAGACCTCTTTTGGTACATTCCTCCCTAAAAGTGTCTTCGAGCTGTTGTGCAGTAGAAATCGTGGTATCTGTGCACATCACTGTTTCTCCTCGCACGTCACATAAGCATGCAGGTGTTGGACAACAACCTTGAATAAGGGCCAAAGTTTGATCAAGTCGAGGGAATGCTCTGCCGACTCCATCAGCATCGATACACGGTACTTGCTTGCTTGCTGCTACAAGAAGACCCATTAGACCATTGGAACCACCGATTTCCCCAGTGTAAATAGCACTGATGTTTTTCAATAGATATTTTTCGACAGCATTGACAGCTAGTAAACATTCATAACCATTCGGTAATAACTCATGAGAAACGGTGGGTGCACCCATGAAGCCAACAGCGGCTACTAGATCTAACGAGGAATGAAAGAACGAGGGAGGCACCACACGCATTTCGTATTTCTTTTCGCGAAGAGCTTCAAGGCACCACAGCTTGCAATGATACGATTCGCCCCCACCACCACAACCTACAAGAGAATCTTTGTCGATTTTTAAAGAAATTGAACTAAATAAATTACCGAGGATTCCGGTGCCATAGGCTATATATTCAATGTCGATTGGATCGATACACCAAACTCCATTGTCATCGAATACAGGTCGTTTCTTTGTCAGATCAACATGAATGGGTGGTTTGATGTCTTTGGGTGTCTCTTTTTCCACCTCTAAAAATGGCTTTTCAACACTTTTCTCTTGTTCATTTCGTTTGACTTTAGTCACGTCCAGTTGTCCGACAACTGTCAATTGTACTCGATGTTTGTGACCACTTGTATGATAAGCCAACGGTACTTGTTCTAATTCCACTAGATGAATGGTATCAGGATAAGCGCCTTTCTGCTCACACTGCTGACGAGCTTCGAAAATCAATCGATCGAGCTCACTTTTGCGCTGGTCTCCACCATCGATCGATGATGGAAGAAGATTAACAATCGAGTCGATTGTTGCACTTATTGAACAGAGAGCAGCGCCTACAGCATTACAAACGGCATAGTGAGCTGGTCGAATTATCTTTCAAAGTAGAAATGATTGATTAAACAAAACATCCATAAAGAATTACTACCTCTGTAACACCAGCAAAGGCTTGATTGATGTCCATGAGAATTGATCCACCACCACATAAGATGACAGGAACTGATTCTTCATTTGTTTTCACACGATCGATGTTTCTTGTTGTCGACTGTTTAATATAATCGAGCACTTGTTCGACGATTGACGAAGAGAGTTTCACAGTCGAATGACCAATCTGCATTCATAATCGGTGAAGAATTTTCAAAAAGGTCGAAACTTACTCCTGAAGTTAATCCAGCAGCCAGAGCAATATCGGTAGCAGTAATCGTTTGACCACCAAAAGCCAATGCTGCTTGATCGAGTCGATAACCAACACTATCAGGTCCTACCCTGATCGATCCGTCATTTTCATTGACATGGATTATTGTACCACCACCCAATGGTAGAGAAACAATATCGGGCACACTGACATTGACTCGAATGTCATCAATCAGTCGCACATTCTTCATCAAATGTCCACTCAAAAAAAAAAACGAAATAAAGTTCAACAACTTACTGCTTGTGTTTGTCTTGGTCTTCCATTGACAATGAAACCAATGTCCATTGATGTTCCACCAACATCAATGACAATTCCATTGTCAATACCACTGAGATATGCAGCACCGATCATCGAATTTGTCGGACCGCTGGCAAAAGTGAAGACAGGCCAACGCATTGAATCTTCCGCTGATAATAAAGTTCCGTCATTTTTCGTGAGAAAGAGAGGAATTCTTCGTGGAAGATTTCCTTGTAATGCTCTGATTGTGCGAATAGCCAATGGACGAAGACTAGCATTGAGAATCGATGCATTCTCACGTTCAGACAGACCAAGACCAGCAATCTCATGAGAAAGAGTAATGTATGCAGTTGATGATTCTTCATGAATAATCTCGGCTACACGTTCTTCTTGATCTTTTTGACAAGGCGAGAAAACACCACAGACACAAAACGAAGAAATATCCAGAGTAAGAGCACGACGAACTAGCGAACGAATTTCGTCTTCATCCAATGGAGTGATTATTGAACCGTCAAGGAAAAAGCCACCAGAGACAAATGCTGTTAAACCATTCACCTAAGTATAGATGTCGAAAGCTCCACTTAAAACAAATCAAGTGTTATCTTTTACTGCATCCTTCAGATCCTGTGGCCAATTAGTCATAGGTGGAATTGCATGTGTTGCTGGTCCACAAAGACGCAGCGTGCACACTTTCGCCAATCCTTGTCGTTGAAGTAGTGCATTGACAAAGTGCGTGGTACCGACCATGATAGCGGCGATCTCCATATCATTGATAACTTGTCGCACAACATGAAGCATGCCCGAAAAGACGTCTGCGCTTGTCACTGTCTTCGCAGTGGCCACCACTTTGGGTGCTACAAATATCAATTGATTCAAAATTTTTGACCACGTGCAGTGTTAATAAAAATTACATTATTGAAAAGAACATAAAAAACTGTGTACATGGTGAAATTTTCAGAGAGCAATATGCTCAAGTTCCCGGCAAAAATTTTTTAAAAAAGATTCTCCAGCGAGAATCACGTCAATTTCTTTTTTTCTCTCTTTCTTTCTTTTTTCAGTGCATATGGGTATGTGTACATGTATACATGTGTGCATATGGGTATGTGTACATGTATACATGTGTGCATATGGGTATGTGTACATGTATACATGTGCGCATACGCATGTGCACTAAAAAAAAGAAGGAAAAAGAGAAAAAAGGCATTGACGCGATTCTCGCTGGAGAATCTTTTTAAAGAGTTTTTGCTGGGAACTTGAGTATATTGCTCTCTAAAAATTTCATCACATACACAGTTTTTTATATTCTTTTCAATAATGTAATTTTATCAACTCGGCACACGATCAAAAACTTCGAACCAGTTGATATGTTCAATAAAAAAACGATAAATAGTCACAGAATTAAGTACTCACATTGATCAGAATCAATTCGTAGTAAGACAGCATCTAGCCAAATACAACAAGATGCAACATAAAAAAATCAGAAGCAAAAGATACTTACCTGTGTTTGTGCCTCCAACATCAACACCAACCACGTGCATCGTAATAATTGTGTTCTACTCTCTTTTCTTTCTTTTTATATATCTTATTTATTATCAAAGAGTGACAACCCAGAACGAGCATTACAGCAACTAGAAATAGTCGTATACGGCCGTTTACGGTGACGTAAACAGCCGTATACGGTGGCGTAAGCGGCCGTATACGGCCATAAACGGCCGTAAACCCGCCGTATTTCCAGGGACCGTATTCCGACCGTATTTCGCCATGTCGTATACGGCATAATACGGCGATCGTGTACGACCGTAATCACAGCGGGACACAGCGCTGATGCCGACGCGCAAGATCGCATACAATACCGTTTACGACAGTAACACCACCGTATACGCCCCTACCTTCTCCAGCACGCAAACAAACACCTGGCCGTTTTGAGACTGATTGAGACTTATTTATTGAGACTTTCTGAGACTGATTGAGACTTATTCGTTGAGACTTTTTGAGACTGATTGAGACTTATTCGTTGAGACTTTTTG